CAGCCTGTACTTGTGCTTGGGATCATCCCAATGTCCCGTTCCTTCTAGGTTCTTCCCTGTCCGACAACCATCTTAATGAGAAACACAGACAAAACCATGCAAGGAAACACAAGAAAGCAGCTACTGCAAAAGTTTGGATGTGCTTTATAAGGTCAGAAGAAAAAAAATACCCCAAAACTTCCCATGTCTCTCAAGTAGAGTATGAGACCTACAGTTTACAAGATACTGCAACTCAGAGTAAAACCCCAGATAAGAGGCACTGCCTTTTTAATCTAACAGGTGCTATTAACACGGGATGATGAAACGCACCAATACACTGACATCCACATTCATCTGGACTGTAGCACGTGTCCACAGTGTATGCCCGCTGTACATCCACTGCTTGTGTGCACATATATATATATATATGTACAGCTACACACCTCCCACCACCAAAAGGTGCACAGGGAAAAGCTCAAAGGAGTAAGCTCATCTGGTGAATTCACCTGGCATGGTTCAGACTGTAAAAATGCCAATTTTCTTGCTAAGGTTAACAGCAATCCTTTATTCCATTAATAATTATGCAGGTAACCACACGCACGATCCCAAATGAAGTCACATTTTTAGTTACTTCAAGGAACTCTACGTGCACGCAGGAATGATTGTCCTTGTCTTCTTCTGCCAAAAATATAATGCTAAAGCTGTGAAATTCTCTGTCAGCACAGAAAAGGAACTGTGCAGAAAACACACTCCAAAATAACTCCAATTGCTGAGGAAGAGCGAGATCTCACTCTATGTCATTTTGATGAGGAAGTAGCCGCTTTGCAGTTAAGGAGACACAATGACACGACATCAACTTCACCGAGTTAGTTTTTTTGAAGAATTTAGCAGCTATGGAAAAATACGATTAACCCTAAGCTGGACAAGGATACTTTTAGGGGACTGATAAACATTACAGAACCACAGAAACATCGGCCACCAGACCCACTAGCATGTGTACTGAATGCAGGATAACGATGCTGGACTCTTATGCAGAGCAGAATTTGTGTCGTAAAAGTTCACAACGTCCAGGCCAACTGAGTCTGGATTTTATACCTCGGGTTTTCATGCGTACTGAAGCTAAGTCTCATCTATGTTTCCTCGTACTTCCTACTCATGGGTAACTCTGTAGGTATGTGTGTCCTTGCAGCCGTAAGATTAAGTGGGCATCAAAATGAATTGGCAGACTCTTCTCCCCACAGTTTAGCAGACAAGTTTTCTTGCCTAGAAAACAGATCTATTCTCGCACAGCTGTTGTGGAAGATAATTCCTAAAAAACCCTTTTGACCATAAAAGACCATCTTCTGTAATAGTAACAGTTTTTTCCAAGGACTGACTGCTCTGACATCTTGCACCACCAACAGTTGAGGCCACGGATACAATTTAGTAATGAACACGTGGCCGGTTGATGCAGCATCTACAGAGAATAGCAGGTTATATTCTCCCACCAACACAAGAAACAGAAGCAACACTGACAGTCGCATAAATTGTAACCCCATTTAGAGTGTTACTTGATTCCCTGTAGTTTCTCCTCCAACCTTATTTATTTGCTTTTTACTATTTTTCATCTTTTGTTTCATCATAATATAGCTCTTGTGCCACTGAGTAGTTCTCCCTAGACTCCAGTCTTTTTCAACTGCCAAAACCACTCATGTTAACATACCTGCTTTTGCTGAAGAGACTCGAGTCTTTCCATGCTACTACACACTGATAACAGACCGATGTGCCAGTGTGAGATACTGATCAGTAAAAAATTAAATTACAAATGAAAGCTTACAAACGTGATGTTTTCAGAGAAGAGAGTAAAACCCATGGGGTAGAAAGTTCTCATGCCATAGGTTTACCCTGTTTCTAATCACAGCACATCATCCTTTAAAATAAATCAAAGTTATTTCATGTACATGCAGAAGAATTTAAAATACTTTTGAGGTGCCTGCTAATAAGCTGCTTGCTGTAAAGCAAGAACGTTGTTTGATCTAAATATCCAACTAAAGGGGAAGCCAATTACCTGGGTTTAACCAAAGATTATTTGTCCAAATACAAAGAAAAGGAACAAAGTTGTTACAAAGTTGAAGTGGGCCAAGTAATGAATGAAAAAAAAAAAAAAAATTAGACTGACTGCAGCAGATGCCAAACACGCCCCAAATGTCAAAATCAGACCTGTCTTGACCTCAGGCTCTACTTCTCTAGTCCTGGGACAAGACACAAAAACCTTATGGAGAAGTTCACCAGAAAAACTTTTAGGAACTATTTTTCTAGGAAATGAAGTTTTAATGCTCGTAATGTTTCACTGCAAGGTTTCCCCCCATCCCTTTTTTCCTTTGTAAAAGGCACCTCATTTTGGCTGCTACTACGTGACGGTTACATTTAGAGTGATTTGAAATTACAACCTGTGCTGATGTAGGTAAGACTTGTGTTAAAGCCCTAATTTATCCCTGTCACATGGTTCTTATTGTCTTACATCAATCAATTCAGCTCTCGTTTGAGGATTCACGTGAAATACGTATTTGAAACAGCTGACTATGTAGTTTCTTAAAGGAAAAAAGCTCTGCTAAGGGATGCTATTTAGTGTGCAAAATTAGCTTCCTTGACTGGCAAGCAGAGTGCCAGCAGACAAGCATTTCTTTAAATTCAAAACGAATTGGAAGTTTTAGAGAAACTCAAGGCATTCAGAAAGAAAGCAAAGTGTTTCTGATAAGCATTATCATACCCCTTTCATATGTTAGTCACAGAAATCGGGCTCCTTTTTATATAACGGGAAAGCAGAGAGCCACATCAGTTGTATTCTAGGCTACTCCCTAATACAGGTCACCTGTATAATTTTTCCAGCCATCCAAAGGGTTTTGCATTAATGTAAAACCACATTAGCATTAATAAAAAGCAACTGTGAGACAGGTGTGGACCAGAAAGCTATTTTTACTGAAACCAACATTTACATGTCACACCTTATTTTAAAAAAGCATGACATATCAATCCAGTTTGCTAAGCGCTGCAACAGGAACGCTACTAAGCAAAACATCATTAAAGCCCAAGGAGTTCAGGTACTTTACTGATCATCACCAGCCTGCCATGCGGGTTAGACTGGCAACCTATCTCCCTGCAAGGGGATGAGACCTCATTAACCAAAAGGCGAGCAATTTCAATTCCCCCCAGCTCCCCTGTATCACACACTCAAATAGTTTTACCGGCTGCATCGACATACCTGTGCAAAAAGGGCGATAGCTGTCCCCACCAAACTGTGCCATAACTCCAACACCGTAGGCAGCTGCTTGCCTCACCTCCGGGCTGTTGTCACATACCGACTGCAGCATTGGCCTCAGGAAGTATTCTGCGTACTTGAACGAGGAGGGGCTGCAGTGCTCTACGAGGTCGTCAAAAATGCAGAGCCCCCACTGCCTGTCTGGCCATGGCCTGTGCGGACACTGCATCAAAACCAGGTAACGTTTAAGCCACCTTAAGATTCCTCACTTTCGTGCAGTCAATGATTATTATTAAAGGAACAATCGTAGTAATAATCATTAGAACAATTGTACTTTTGTTAAAATCTTCCTGCATTAAATTTAATCCTACAAACGTACAATTTTCTGCAGTGATACTTGCAGCAATACCAGAAACAAAACAAAATCTGGGTGAATGTTTGAGCTAACAAAGAATAAAGATTCCAGGTTAAATCCTTAACCTCTATTTCACACTCCATTACCCAACTTCAGTCTCAATTTTCCCCACTAGCCTGCAATACTTTTTTGGCCCTCTTCTTGAAAACCATTTTAGAGAGAACTGGACGCTCCCAGGCAAATGAAATTTCTCAGAAGTGTTGTGTGTGTCAAACGATCCTGGGTCTTGCAACACAGAAATTAGAGGTAGCACAGCAGCGCAGCTGTTCAAAAAGCACAGACAGGGCAACAGCTTCATACTTGATCCAATAAACCTTCAACTGTCTCGATTTTGTAAAACAATACTTGCTACATTCTATCTACTAAGTTGTGGTAGGTCCGAGCACGGGAGGCTCTTACCACATCAGGAAAAAAAAAACGTAACAAAAAAAAGAGCAAAGTCAAATTAAAAGAAATCAAGGTACTTACAATTAGGTTGACAATTAGTGGAAGTAGACTTTCAAACCATGGCAGCACCTTCTCCTTGTAACTGCTGAATATTGAGTGCAAAATGTCCGATACTTTCGTCAATATATAAATATCGCTGTCATCCTGACAGGAAAAGGATACAACTCACATTAATGACCTTTAAAATAGTGGAAATCCTATGAGACACTAAGGCCTCTAAACTAATGGAACAAAGTGGTTTTAAAAACAAAATCATTAAACAAATCTTTTAGACAAGCCCTGTTTCTCAACTCTTGGTCTAAACAGAATGACACGAGTCATACAACAATTTGGGTTGGAAAGGACCTTAAAGAACATCTAGTTCCAACCCCCCTGCCATGGGCAGGGACACCTTCCACTAGACCAGGTTGCTCAAAGCCTCGTCCAGCCTGGCCTTGAACACTTCCAGGGATGGGGCATCCACAGCTTCTCTGGGCAACCTGTTCTAAAAAACAATTCTTACTTATGTTCAATCTAAAGCTACCCTCTTTTAGTTTAAAACAGTTGCCCCTGTCCTGTCACTACTGGCCCTGTTAGGGCCCCCGGTACGTAGCATTAGTATGGCTCTCGCTGGAGGAATGGATGGCTCCCTCTCCAGTCCTTCAGCGAACAGGAACTAGACCTGACAGCTGGAACACGCCCAGGCAGAGGCTACATCCTTCGTGTAAGCACAGGCTCCTTCTGTCCCTCTTGACGGATTCCCAAAGGCTGTGCTTTGGCATACAACTCTCTGTGTAAATAATGTTGGCTTGATGGCCAACTGTATTTACTTTCAGGTAGGCACAAACTCCTGAAAGGCTGCAATAAGGTCTCCCCGGAGCCTTCTCTTCTCCAGGCTGAACCAGCCCAACTCTCTCAGCCTGTCCCCATAGCAGAGGTGCTCCAGCCCTCTGAGCATCTTCATGGCCTCCTCTGGACTCGCTCCAACCAGTCTATATCCTCCTTAGGTTGAGGGCTCCACAGCTGGACACAGTACTCCAGGTGGGGTCTCACCAGAGCAGAGTACAGGGGCAGAATCCCCTCCCTCGACCGGCTGGCCACACTTCTCTGGATACAGCCCAGGATACGGTTGGCTTTCTGGGCTGTCAGCGCACACTGCCAGCTCATGTTCAGCTTTTCATCCACCAGTCCCCCAACTCCTTCTCCTCAGGGCTGCTCTCCATCCACTCTCCACCCAGCCTGTACTTGTGTCTGGGATTGCACCGAGCCAGGTGCCAAAGGCCTTACTGAAGTCACAACAGATGACATCAGTTGCTCTTCCTTAACCCACCAACGGAGTCACTCCACCGCAGAAGCCACCAGATGAGTTGGCATGATTTGCCATTTGAGATTCCACTTCAGCTGTCTGTAAGCCCCTCCCTGTCTTCCATGAGCCTTCACATAGCTTCTAGGAAAATCTGTTCCATGATCTTACAGGGCACAGTGCTGACACTGGTTGGTAGCTCCCAGCATCCTCCTTTTTACCCTTCCTAAGAATTTCAGCAGATTGCCAATACTCAGTTGCCCAGGGCTTGGTTTCATGGACAGTAAATTTTCATCAAGACAAACACTGTCTTGTGCAAATGCACTGCTTCAAGGCATTCTGTCTTCAAGACAGAAGACCCTTTTCCTCTTCTGTATCTTACAGATCCAAGTTTCTATTGGAAAGTAAATTAATAACTGCCTTTGTGACAGAAGATGGTGAGAAAAATATAAGGAATATTAATCCTCTCCTCATCACTTAAGTTCATTTTTCACCTTGCCCAATTCATGCATCAAAGTGGTGAAGTAATGACCCTTAGATCAGATTCAGCTATCAATTCACATTATATCTGCATGTACAGATTGTTCCTTGGGCCCAAATGTGTTGGAAAAAACCTTTAACTTTGTTTTAAAGCAAGTGCTGTTGTATTCAGTATGGTTCCTTTAACCCGTTTACGCTTTAATAGGCAGGGAAAACAATACAGCTAGTTTCTGGTCCCTAGTGAGAAACCTTAGAAGTATTTCTCATGCAACAGGCAGATTCCCACAGCTGGAAATTAAAACCCTCCCTGGTTAGACAACTTCTGCATTATCAAGGCCTAATTTAAGCACTAACTCTGGAACATATGCACAAATGAAAATAGAGGTGTAGAACTGCTGCAGCACACCACAGGGTCTGCCTGGGCTGGTACTGCCTCTTTGCTAATAGCTGACAACAGATACTTGGGGGGGAGCAGAACACTTGCTTAGCGTATGCCTTCTCCCACCCTCCACCAGTTCAGCAGTTCAGTTATTGCCTGAACTAGGGCTGTATCTGGGTATCTTACTGAAACTACTGTTTGAGTGTCTTCCATTACTTCTGTACTCCCTTTTATTTCTGCTGCCTTGAGGTAAGGGCCACATAAACATATTCTGGGACCAGAGGTGTATATCCAAATGTTCTGCATTACCGCATATTAATTCTGTCCATATGGTCAGTGACATTCTGGTCCCACTTCTACTTTCATTGGGTAATGCAGACAAGCCCTCCTTGTGACCTTTAAGGAAATCAGCAAGGTCAAACATAAATGAAAGCATTTTCAAAAATGCCTTACAACTCCATGAGACTATGGATTCAGCTTTTCTGAAACTACTGCTTGCTGGCATTTTCTCTCATTATCAGTACAGAGAGACATGTAAAAAAAAAAGTTAAACCACCTAACTCTGTCTACAGGAATGAACAGCAAATATTGCAAATATAAAAGGGAGAAAAATCAGGAAAGGCTCTTGGCTCAGCACTTGAGTTTTGTTATTTTTTGATTCCACACAGTATGCAGGTGCCAGAAATCTATCCTTTTAAACACTGGCCTAACGCTCCCACAGGAAAGGGACTCCAGAACTGCATTGTTATTTGAGAAAGTATTTACACATGGGTGCAGGATCTGTTAAGATGTAGTCTGCATGGAGGTTAAACTCATATAAACAAGCTTCACAATTCAACTTCACAAGCTTCACATCTGTATTGTGTGGCAAAAAATTTCCTTGTTCTTAAATGTACTGAGTATCCTTTATATCTCATAAGCAGCAGTGACTTCTATCACCCTCTCCATACCAATAATGATTTAATAGAACTATCGTATCTCTTGTACTGTCATCTCCACTCCAAACTCAGAGGTCAGTTCAGTATCTTGGCAGATAAGTAGTCCCTTTGGTATTACCTCATAAGCAAACACATTATGTCAGCTATTCATCCTCCTGTCAGCCTTTGATACAATTTTTATTCTCTATTATTTCTGAGACTCTATTATTTATTCTCTATTATTTCTGAGACTTGACACATCAGAGGCCTGGGTATCAGAGGTATACTCAAGGTTAAGAGCCACCTAGGTCATAAGGCACAAAGAAAAAGCAAGTCAGCAGCAGCCAGGCTAGCCTTTAGACTATCACTGATGCAGCGTTTGACAGCAGGCTATTTAAAGTCATCTAAGAATTGTTTGAGGATGGGGGGGGGGAAAGAGCTCTATACTGAACTTCTTCCTTCGGTATACTGAATAAGGAAACCTTTTACATTTCCTAACTCACACGTGTAGTGTCATCCATTTCTTCCTGGAAGTTTTCAAGGAATATGGTAATAGAACATTCTTCCACGAAGAAATAATTCTGGAGCCTTATGAGGGAATAAACTCCCGAAAACAACTTACTTCATCTTGCAATGACTCTTCAACTTGTTCATCATAGTCTTCATCTTGTCTTTTCACTAAATTAAAAAACGAATATTAAACAATTACATTTCTACAAGTGCATAAAAAGCATGTGAAAGGAAAAAGATGCAGAAACAGATGTAGAAAATAGGAAAGAGAAGATGCAACAGGAATTTTGTTTTTAAGAAGCTTCAGTAAAAGCTTTCACAGAAAATCAAGAAGTGCAGGACTGCTGTTTAGGAACGCATAAAAGTGCATAAAATAGAAATAAACGTGCCAGCTTGTCGACAAGGACAAGGAAAGTGCATACAGACAAGAAGCTACCATTGCTTTAAGAAAACTGCAAAGACTTCAGATGAAAAAAAACCCACAGGAATAACACCACCATAGACATGCAAACTGTCTTCAAGTAAATCTGTCCATCAACTTTTGGAGACTGGCAGAAACTACAGTATTTCTGCAAATGATGCCATCTTCGCCCTCCCAGAGATTACAAATACAATGAATGGATGCTGTTTTTTCAGAGCCCAATTGCCTTACATAAACATGCAAATTAAAGAAATCTGAAATAGGCTTTTTTGTGTGTTCAGAAATTGCTAGGAATTCTGCTTTCAAAATCAGCCATTATCACGTTAACAAGAACTTGTGTTAACTTACCCTGTCTTAACTCTTGATTTTTAAAGTGCTCTTCTAGTTTTCTTTTCAATATCCCTCCAAGCTCTTCAAAGTGTTCGTTGTTAAGGCATCCATCTCCCATGACCTCAATGCACTAGTGAAATAAAATGATCAGCTTTTCAGCTTCAACTTACATGAGCAGTCTCAATGAAACCTAAGCTCACGGAGAATATTGATACATACTGATGGGTAGCAGAAATAATACTAATAGAACATTCAACCTGTGAACAGAGCTGAAATGATGCATGTTAAGGCATAGTACCACTGCATGTTTCATGCACACCATCATTTTATGGTTTGTGGTTAGAATGAACAAAACTGGTATATGTAGCCTTCCAGTACCTGAAGGGGCTACAAGGAAGCTGGGGGGGACTTTTTACCAGGGCCTGTAGTGACAGGACAAGGGGTAACAGGTTTAAATTTAAAGTGGGGAGGTTTAGATTGGATATCAGGAAGAAATTCTTCCTGGAGAGGGTGGTGAGGCACTGGGACAGGTTGCCCAGAGAAGCTGTGGATGCCCCCTCCCTGGAAGTGTTCAAGGCCAGGCTGGATGAGGCTTTGAGCAACCTGGTCTAGTGGAAGGCGTCCCTGCCCATGGCAGGGGGTTGGAACTGGATGATCTTTAAGGTCCCTTCCAACCCAAACGATTCTGTGATTCTATATTTTAGGTTAATACTGTAACAACATTTGTATATGCAGTCAAACCAAAATTCATGTAGAGGAAGCCTTGCATTTCCTCCATCAAACAGGTCTTTTCTTCACATAAAAAGCTACAGAAACAGAATAGAAGTTGTAAGGATGAAAGTTACCTTTGCAAAAGAATGCATTATTTCTGAGAGAACATCTGAATCGGGTTCTGTCCCAATGGCTTTGATGAGTGCGTCGCACATGAAGTGCCACATCTGCGTGAGGTACTCTGGCCCGCGAACTCTAGCACATTCAAGAAGGAGGGGCATCGACTCTGCTGCTGCCACTCGAACACGTTTCATTGTTAAGGAAATAAAACCATCAACACCAACATAAAGTGCTTAGAATCTAAGCACCCATCACCATCATGAAGTCACTAGTTTTCTACCAGAAACTGTGGGGTTTCATTGTTTTGTTGGTGGTTTGTTTTGTTTTTTTAAATTATGGTCCAGTGTATTTGATTTCTTAATGAGATACAGATTAAGACCACAGGAGAATTAAATGTTTTGCTATTTAAAAGTTGTATCAAGCCTGTTTCAGGCTAGGACAGAAAAGCTATTCAAATTCTCCTTCAATTTGTTGGCACAAACATCACTTTCTCTACTGTTTGCTTTTAACATTATAGACTTGCTCATTTTAAAAGAAACTAAGGGAAAAAGTAGGATACTTTTTTGCCTAAAACAGTGTGTGAAACAACGTTCTCGGAAACAATTTCTGCTATAAAGCAACAGAATATTTTAACGCTAACACTCTGAATTCATTTAGGACAACAGTAAGCACGATTCTGGTTCTTCCAAACTAAGTTTCTGTTTTCACAGTAGAATTCATAAATAGGATATCATCGTGGAAATAGAACTTCAACAGGGGAACCATCAGCTTTACAACTTGCTCTGTGTACTCCACGAATCCTTCTTTTAGCTCTTTTGCATAGCAAACCTGAAACACAAAGCATGGAAGTGCCACCTTAAGGGTAAACATGAATGTATTTCAACCATGTAATGGTGAGAAGGACTGTTAAAAGTTTAAGGTTTTACAATATATTCAAAAACCCATGCAATAATCCATTTATCTACCCCCTCCACTGTAGTCTTTTAAGAAATCCTGACAGCAGCATCAGTTCTCACTCAGTACCTGTGTGTATTTTCTTAAACCGAATTCAGAAACATCAATATTTGCAAGAAGAAACTACTCTCTAACCTCTCCAATTCATAAAAAGTTTTGCTAACAAAGGAAAACTATCTGTTAGTCTTAAAAACTGAAGCTCCAAACTAAAGAACCCATTTTAATCAAGTAAACCACAAAGTGTCTGAAATGCAAACTTAACACTACCACCTGAAGAAAACCAGAACTATTTAATTTGATACTATAAAGAATATTTTCGTTAGAGGTTTTGGCATCAGATCCTATGTGCCAGCAGTAGATCACCAAAACTGTCCTATTACTCACCAGCATCTGGCATGCAGTTGCTTTTTCTTCAAGGCCCGCAGTTTTAATTCCAAAACTTTGCTGATCTCCTAGGTTTACGAATTCCCAACCATCATCATCACTCATGTTCTCCATATCTTGTGCTATTATACAGAGAGGCAAAAAGAATAATATCTAAAAGTGCTACGAAATAATTTATTTTGGAATTTTTTCAAGTAAAACGTTATCTTAAACCTACTGTCTAGAAGAGCTACTTCAGGTTTAATGGATGCAGTCTTCATTAAGGGTCCCATGACAACAGGAAGGTACTGCTGAAACTCCTTTCCAAGAATTTTACACATTCTGGCCCATGCTGAGATCATGTAAGAAATCTATAAAACAGAATAGTCAGAATTTTCATGTCCCACATTTTATTTTCATGCATACATAAAAGGAAAGCATAAAGGAAGAACATTATACAACAGGATTTTTGAAAAGAATGTGTCAGCAGTGCAGAAAACTTATTTTGAGGAGAATGCATCCAATACGCAATCCGTATAAAAATGTGTCTTCAGAAGACCTGTCCTTTATTTGTAACAACTCACTGACAGTACCTCTGATCAGAGGTGCTATGTGCGTAAAGATGTGACAGTATGTTGCACTTGTAATGCAATCATGACTGTACTGAAAAGTGAATTTCTTTCTGAAATGAGTAATTTTCTGAATTGAAATGATACTGCTGAGTCACATTCCTGAAAACAGCATTGCAGTACTGTTTTCAGATGCACAAGTCAAAATAGCTCTCCCCTCATTACAACAGCTGTCTAACAAGACTTGGTAAACTATTTATAAGAAGGTGACAGCAAGGGAATAGGTCATGCAATGCCAACCAAAGTAGTTACTAAAAGACAGGGAATGATTACCCATGTGCTGAAATTTCCTCAGTAAATACAGATCCCGGAAGTCTCATTTCCTAAACAAAATTCTGTGAAAGACTTCGAGGCCATCTTAGGGCAACCGCTCTCAATTTTTACACGACATGCTGAAAAATTAGCCTGAAGGTGCAATTCCGGGAGGAGAATGAGGGGGGTGGGGAACGTCACATCCAAAGAACATTTTTAACACTAACCAATGAGCTAGGCAATATAAAGAGACAGTTTTAACATACCTGTGGATCGTCGTCTTCTAGATCGCTGAAGTCTGTTTGTGTCTTCAGTAGGAGCTGCATTACGTCTGACGCATCTTGCATAAACTAGACATAGGACAGAGCTATGTTTTTAAAGGCAAATTAAAAGGGTACATAGCTGAGACTTAACACCAAGCGATTTAAGTAAGCGTTTATATCCCACGCACTACCAAGACACAATTTAAAGCTGGAAGTAGACTGAAATGTGGAAAAAAGGGCAGAAGTTGTTCTGGAAACACCACCAAGTCACTCTTCTCTTATGCTTCATTGTACTTCTATGCATATACTTGAAAGCAGAGGACTCTATATAAAGCACAACATAAATAAATGCTAACACAAAAAATAGTCTGACAATTCTAACTTCTCCAGATATCCTCCTTACTATCTTGACACCTTTACAGAACTGGGATAAAAGCTGACAGCATGAGTTACTTACTCACGAGCTACTAATGCTTTAGGTCACATCAGATGCCCCAGTGACGTTACACGTATCCTCTTTTCACTTCCCACATTCCCAATAGTCCTCCCAGAATAACTTAAGCTGTGATGATTTTTTAAGATTCTGTTCTGAATTTGTGTATCTGAACAAGACAGCTACCTCAGAAATGAAAACTAAGAAAAACATAGAAATCGGCAACCACATAGCTATGTTTAACAAGTGAATATATTAATCTAATGTCAACACCACAGCCTACCTTTTCTTTACCAACAGCAAGACCAATCAGGCTGATGCACTCAATAGTCTTTCCTCGCAGAAGTCTTAATTCCTTCTGAACAGCATTCTCGACAATGTGTTTTAAAGAGGGCATAAATAAGTCATAGTAGGGAACAAACTTCTCCTCTGCTGTATCTGCAACTGACGCAATTGAAGTCACAACTTGCTCCAAAACTAGCTTAGTGCCTTTCTGTATCAACTTGGAAAGAGGAAGAATAAAGCGTTATCTTTCTAGAACGCGTGTTTTACGGAAAAGCATGTCAAATCTAAAAAAATCTTGTATGTCTCCTAATTCTTGTCAGTTTATAACAACATCAGCAGATATGTCTACTGGCTTATTTCAGACAGCTTAGTTCAGCTACACGTACTGCGTGTGCATTTACTGTGTGACTGTGCTGGTTTGAGTCAGGACAGAGGTAGTTTTCTTCACAGTAGCTAGCACGAGGCTGTGTTTTGGATTTGTGCTGAGAAGAGTATTGCTGACACCTATGTTTTTACTTGTTGTTAAGGAATGGCAAAGACTTTCTCCCTTTCTCATACTGCACCTGTATTCCCAGCTTCTTCCCTACAAGCCAGGAGGGGACACAGCCAGGACAGCTGATCCAAACTGACCACAGGGACATTTCATGCCATCAAACGTCATGCTCACTATATAAGTTGGGGGAGTTGACCAGGAGGGGAAACCGCTGCTCGGGAACTTGCTGAGCATCAGTCGGCTAATGGTGAGCAGTTGTTATCATTGTTTTCCTTCCTGTCTTTTTTTCTTCTATTACATATTATCATCACTATAATTAATAGTAGTATTTTCATTATATATTAGTAGCAGTAATATTAGTATAATTATTTTATTTCACTTCCTTTCAATTCTTAAACTCTTCTTATCTCAACCCACGACTTCTCTTTATCTTTTTGCCCCAATCCTCTTGCCCATCCCACTGGGGTAAGGGGAGGTGAGCGAGAGGCTGTGTGGTGCTTCGTTGCTGGCTGGGGCTAAACCACGACAGTGACAGATTACACTCCGTGAAGCGGTTCGTTCAGTATATTATACCTCTTGTAGTTTTATCACCATAGTGGAATGAAGATGCTTCACTAGGTTATCCAGATATGGAATAAGCAGTGATTTGGGACAATCTTCAGTGAAGTTTATGAGTGCTGCAGCTGCATGGGCTTGAACACGCTGGTTGCCTTGATCCTCCATGGTTTGCAGAAGAGCTGCTATCACCTGAAACAGAAGTGTTTATTTTCAGACAAATATGTTTCTGAAAGGGACATAGTTTTACCACTTTTTTCTTTTATTTCTTTTACTATTCTACTACTTGCCTTCTCATGAAATTTCTTTTGAAAACCAGGTGCGAAGTCAGTTGCCATCTGTCCAATAGCATTACAAGCGGCGTATCTTACTCTTGGATGCTGAAAAAGTATTTCCCCTCAAACAGTTAACAAGTAGTCATGGGAGCAGACATGAAAACATTTTGAAGTAATTAACTGAATTAGACTCACAGGATCCTGAAGGAATAGCAAAACGAAATTAACTATCTCATTTAAAATTCCCTCCATCTGTTGGTGGCAACCTTCTCCAATGGCTGAGAGCGCCATCAAGCCAGCGTGCCTGTATTTCCAGTCAGCTGCAGAGGAGTAAAAACAGATATCTATTATTCACTCTGAAAATTACAGAGCACAACAAAGATAAAGCACCTTTTTTGGGGGGGTGGATGGGAGAGGAAGAGGAAGAGTGAAGAACAAGAAACGGAAAGGAAACCTATGCATCTACTTGATTTGTTGAATACTTTTCACTTTTACTCATACATACTTCCAGAGATGCACAAAAATTTGAGTATCTAATCCAGGCTAAATCCAGACCTAGAAAAAAGAATTCTGAACTGCTTATAGAAGCATGTACATAGTATTAAGACCTGGGAACTGCATTTTCATTAAGTGAGCTGATCAGGCAAACATCAAGGCAGTATTTTTTTATTTTAATGATTGCTTGAACAAGCATTACATGTATTTTAAGAGGAAAAGAAGCATACAAAGCAATGGATAAGAATATATGGAACCAGCTCATGAAACAAGTATTAAAATCAGCATACTCAAAGACAGGCAGCCTACCACTGACTACTGTATTTTGGTCCATCAAATTACAAGAAAACAAAACAAAACAGAAACCCCTAACTAGCCTTCCTCTATGAACTGTAATATATTAAAATTTCACTTAAATGCAGCACTTGTGAAGAAACAAAAAAACTGAGCTACAGAGTAACAGGTGGTAGTTTAAGACACCTAGGATACTGCGAGGCACTGTACAGGGATTTAGAGAGACTGTTCTAAAGTAAAAGAAGTCTCCCCTTATTTACATTTAAAAACTCTGTCTGTGAATTAAGAAGTGTACCCTTTTTTTAACATCTCCATTCAGCTGTCCATGTTCCAGAAAACTGCTGTAATGCACTGCATATAAATGTAATAAATCACAGTCTAAGAAAACGTGTAAACTTCCAAGTTGACAGCATTTAAAGTTTTTGCTGCCAAAATCAAAAGTGGAAGTGTATAAAAATATATTAAGTAGCTAAACATGAATATTTAAGAGCTATTAAAGTTCCTGGAAAAGATAAAATTAAAAAAAAATTATAGATAGATACTTACGATTCTGAAGCATTTGCATAATATGTTCTTTAATCATAGGTAAAACAAGTTTTCCTCCAAGGCCAGATGCCATCCTGTCCAGTGCACTCTCACCAGCAACTGCACTGCTAAATATCAGAGAAACATCAGTAGTTTAAGATCTACAATAAAACAAACATGGCACAGACGTGCCCATTTCCTGCAGCTCTAGTCTTCCAACTTTTGCCATCCGAACACACATGAGCCTCTGTAAGTAAATAAAGCATACCCAAACCTAAAAGCACACACACCACTCACAAAACAATGATTTACCCTCCACCTAAACATTTATTATCTGCAGCTCATTGATTAAGTCTAGTACCAAAGAAACTCGGGCCTCGCTTGCAGAATTCAGTCTATACCTTCAGTGCAACCATTACACATCTGTCAAAAGCTGAAACTAAGTTTGCAATTAGTTGAGCAGTAATACTGACCATCATCATTTTGTCAAGAGAACACAAACCAATCTGGGATTGCTACGAAGCAAGTGAACCAGCAGAATTCAAGCTTTAGCACACAAGAGACCTTTCCTGCGCAGCTGCAGAACCAGTACTCCAGCAGCACTTCTCTTGCCAGTGACTCAGGCAGAAAACATCCAGTCCAGGTGAGGAATTTGTGACACTCAGCCAGTCCCAGGAGTGAGAACAGCCAAATATTATCTGTGTAAAGTGACTTGTTCCACCCAAGAGAATTATTCCCTACAGAAAAGCCAGGAAGTTTCCAGGACACAGGTAACTACAGTTACAGTCTGGGTCCAGGTAGCACTGCACTGAAGGTTACTACACTCCATCCGGGACCCCCACGCTGATGGAAAAACCGAGTAACGGTCCAGAAGGGGATGAACCTCCCTCTTCTTTCAGGTATCACTCAGCTGGGTCAGAAATGGAGATCCTCAAACTGTTCTGCTTGAATCTCCAAGTCTCATTTCAAACCACAAACAGTCTAGAAACTCACATGCTGTGAACAAAGGTGTTTGCACAAAGACAGCGACAACATTGTATTTGTCCTTCAGAGCAGTCACGTTAAAATAAACAGACACATCACCACCAGGACAACAGAGCAGGGGCACACAATTTTGGGTTGGAGCAAACTCACTGAAGTTGATGGCATCAATGAAGTTAATTTTATCTGAAATCGTGTTCCTCGAGCTCTTCCCTCCAACCATTAATTCACACATTCAGTTTGAGGAAAGAGATAGCCTATCTTAGAAAAACGACCACACACCTCCCTGCAACTTTTTGCAAGGTTTTTGCCAGGAAGAGGTTGGATTAACCTTTTCCTCCTTTAGAATTTCACTTCTCTATCAAGTCAGAGCACCAAAAAAACCTGGAAACACTAAAGTATTCCCTGATGCTTTCGCGTAGGCTGACTCACATTCCCCTTCGTCAGACCCGAACACACCCTAACCAGGCTACAGCCTGATGATCATTAGCCTGTTTCTCGGACTGCACAGAAATTCCAGGCTTCTTAGGCAGCTACAAACACTGCAGCGTCAGAAGAGGTTAGCACGTACATCAGCACCTAACCAGCAACTCCCCACAAAGGTGAACCTCAGGGGTGGGAAATAACACGGTAACACGAGTGAACCTGCTAAAAGAGAAAACTAACACCACACACGCCATTGCCAGAGATCAGCTCACCTCCAGTATTTTGTGTCGTAAGCCTCAAGATCTCCTATTACTTGGAGGTTAAAGGGAGTTATGTTTCTCCTTTAGGCTAAGGTTGTGGAGCATAACTAATTTTTCTGATTTTTACTCGCTCTACTTGCAATTTGGAAGAAAAAGAAAATGTAAGTTTTCACTCTAAAACCCATAGGCAGCTAACTTGTGTTTAGAAGAACAAAGCACAGAGTTACTCTGCTGACAATAAAGAGAAACTGGCATGCCTCGGGGATGATTCAGCATCCTTACTAAACTGCCTAAGGCAACCCATCTGAATGAATCAACTTCCACACCCTGAAAAGGCTTGATGAGATTTTAATATTCTATTTCCCCTAGAAATGTAGCCCAATTAAAAGATTCAAACCCTTGACAAACCTGAATGCAGTCGTGTCTGACAGTTCTACCTGTATGGCAGAATTTCAAAGTTGAGGAAATGAATGAAACAGGTTAAAAGGGTCTGGTCTACCTTGTGAGAGGAGGGAGAAAGGACAGCTTATTTTCAATTCTATAATCAAGGAGAACAAAAAAAAAAAGCAGTCCAAGGCAAGCAGAGATTAAACATCATCTTCCATAAATCCCTACCTATCAGTTTTGCAAGTGCTTTCACATGCCTGACACCTAGTAGTCGCTATACAGTTCAGTGCTAAATCCACTTCTCTCCAACTGCCCACCTTCCTGTGGGGATCTGAGAGTCTTCTGTGACAAACTGTATCAAAGCACTAATGACATCCGAGGCTTCAAGGAGATGCCAGATGTGGCAAAAAAGTATCTACACTGGTCAATGAACATCCGTTTCTTTACAGAAGCGTGGAGAATATTTCTCTCTGCCAAATGTTTCTGCTTTTTTTCTACTTCATTCTATATATGTTTGGACAAGAGCAGATGTAACAGGACGCCATAGACAAACTGCTGCCATTCTAGTGAAAAGTTGGAGCGAGGTACAAAGCACACAGGAACAAGCAAATCAAAGACTGGACATCTTTTGTAGATCTTTCTCACCTATGACCCAAGAAGATAAGCTACTGCTAGCCACTCCAAGAAACTTAAAATCTCAAAATCACAATATTTTTCGGCTAGATGAAATCCAGCAAGGAATTCCACTATGCCTTCTGATGTCCTTCAAAGGTAGGCAACTTTTTTCTTTAACACCACATTTCAAGGGCATAGATACAGAAAAGTAGGAAGAGATTGGTCGTAGATGATTAAGCAGGTCAGTAAGATTCATCTTTGGTTCCAGCTAACTTCAGAATAAGCCCACAATTTAAAGGCTTAGGAGCACTGACTTCTGAACCGAGTACCGTAAATGACAAGAACAAAAGTTTGAAAAGTTAAAACAGACAAGAGGACATGCCACTTGCAGAAGTAAATTACAGCAATACATGAATACTGAAAGAATTTACTTATTTGCTGAACAGTACGTAAATAACCTACATATAAACTCTCTGAAAACAGTCATACATACTGCTCATGACCAAGGGAACAAAATTAGAAGAGTTACTTGAGTAAGGAAAATGTAATGCACTGTAATCATTTGCATCCTGCACTTAAAATCTGCTTAAAATCAGGCCACACAGTCTTGGTAATATACTGAAACAACTGATTTCATTAATTACCTGTCAAAATCGTCATCTTCAAGCTCATCTGCATTTGCCCAATCTTCATCATCTTCCAAGTCAACCATCATTGCTAACATTTGAGGAACTTGGGGAAAAAAAAAAGTGTTAAACTCAGGCTGCTTTCTTAAAATATATTCTCAAATAACAAGCACAAATTTCAAGTTCTCTGCTTTCAAAAAATCACTGAAGAAAAAAAACTTTTCTTCCAGCAGCAGATAGCCAAGTCTGTCAAAGTGCATCAGCCAATAATTCAGAATAGATTTTCAGAAGAGTATTTTCAGAACACTGAAATCAAGAGTAAAAAAAGTTGTGGATGTCTTACCAAGACTTATAGTAAAACAGAAGACTTCAAATCATCAAGACTGTAAAAAGTCAATTCCTTAATAAAGTCTAAGTTCCTTGAAAGAGTCAAAACTAGTGTTACATGCTTTAAGAATTCAGAGATACTTCATTCATTTTACTGAAACGCTGACATCATCCTTAACACTGGCTGATAAAAGAGCCTATATTCATTACAGAAGAACCCTGCTCAACCCTTAGTTTTACAAACATCATAAATTTTGTTAACTGTATGTACAGTGGTCACTTAATATACAGCTTTACTTTTACAATAACAGTTTAGAATGAGATTTTTCCTCACCTAATGTAAATTTTTGTTTTGTATCCTGAAAATAACCTGCACGTATCCTCCACCAGTTTTCTTCTACTACCCTCTGTAGATGCATTCTGTCTTTTCTTCTCAGATAAGTCTTTGTAGAGGTTATTACACAATCTTTATTGTAACATTGAACCACTATGCAATAAGCAACACCTATTGTTCGGAGTTGTTCGCACAGGAGAAAGGAATGTAGTGATTTGTCTATCTTCAGCCTGTCTCTTCCTGTGCACTTCAGGAGCCCAAGGGGTGAAATGTACACCTTGCACTTTCACAGCCAACTACGGTGGCTCCTAAGCATCCTTTACTCCTTACTGCATTAATCACTCAGAGCAGTCATGTGAATTCAATATCATTTACGTAAAAAAGCTTCACTTTGCCCTAGAAACAAAAGTTTTGAAATAATCTTTTTAGGACAGTCTATCACACATCTTGAAGACAGGCATCACAGTTAACCATCCTTTACAGCAACCGACCTCAAAAACTAGTTCCCATCCAGTAGCAGTCCTTGCTGCTGCTGAGATTTAGCAACCAGTTAGGTGTACTGCAACCAGTGAACCTCATAATATACTGACACTACTGTAATCTATGGTGGAGGCACAACTCTAAGCAAACTCACCCCATGATACATCTGGACAGATGAGAAACAACTGGTCAACTGATGACAGAAGAAAATATTGCTCACTGACAGCATTGTGGGTATCAAGAAAAGATCAAATCATGGATTGATTTGCTTGATGTGGCCATGTATCTTCAGCCAGAGATTACACCATGGCTGCAAAAACCTTCAGAGAGCTTTTATATACACATCAAGGTAACTTAATGGACACTATAAACTCTCCAGCATGATGCCCACATGTCAGAACTCTATATACTTACTAGTCACTGAAAAGAGTTTCCTCCAAAAAAAACCATATTACAGCCTAGAAGCTGTTCAGACACACTCAGAAGCACACGTGAAAATGATGTATTGTCACACCTTTGAAAGACAGAAGTCAACCATCATGTGCCACAAATGCTACGCAGTTCCAAAAACCAGTGTCATAGTGTTCATTGCTACAAGCAAGTAAAGCTGAGAACCAACTGTCATCCAAAGCTGTCTGGCTATCGTTATACCTAGAACCTGCAAAAGCTTGTAAAGATGTTTTTTCTGCCTGATGTTTAATATGAATCTGGTTGCCTGTAAATATAGTTTCACAAAGACTTCTTTTAAAATGTAGAGCTGTGCATTAAAGTTTCAACACTGTCCCAACAAGTCCTCAAAATTTAATCATTGCAAATATACAGACTGTTTACAAACAAGTGAAGGATGAGCCCACTAAGCCTGCTTCTTGTCAGAGCACGACAAAACTGTTTTCTGGAGACTGAGCAAAACTACAGCCAAAGACTGGCTGCACCTCTAATTTCTAGGGAAATAGCAATAAAAAAAACTCTTGCTGTCTTGAATACCAAGATCAAGGAGGAAAGTCTGAACCCCAATGGAATTCCTAAGCACCTAGGTGATACACAGGACACAGAATTAATCCTAAACCAGTATCATATTCAGTAAAACAAACATGACAGTTTTGCCTAAGACACAGTTCTAGGTGTGAGGATCAAGTGATCTAGCAACCTCTTAGTTGAATGGAAACAGAAACTTATAAACTAAAGCACAAAACCAAGACAAAAGCTATCCTTTTTGGCTACCATTTTATCATTCTCTGAACATAACTGCTTTACCAGCTCTGCAAAATAAACATCTTTCACCTTAGTGATTAAAAGCAGTTTGACCACGGGTTGCAAACCAAAGGCATTTCATTCCCACATGGTGCCTTATCTTAATACGGTATCTTAACACAAATATGTCATTCTTAAACAGCGAGTAGCAACCCAATATAAAAGTAATACATTCTAAAGAGATAGGAGGTACTTCTCCACTATGCTGCCTGACCAGATAAGAAGCTTGTAATGATCTGGGGGACAGCAAGTGTCAAGTGCTAATATTACCTACAAGCTACGGGACAGAGTGCAAAACGAGCATTCTAAACATTTTCAAATTTCAAAATGTAATCTAAAAGAATCTGTTCCTTAAAAAGAACTATTCTACAAGTAAACAAAATTTCTAGTCAATAGTTTAAACACTTAAGCCAAGCTTATCCACTTTAGACATCTTCCAGAAGTTTTATCATTATTTTAGGGACATGTACATATGAAAATTTCCCCAGCGTGAGTGTAAAAGTTAGAAATCAGCTGCCTTTTAACAGATTGTCTTCATGTGAGTTTCAGGAAACAAGCAAGAATCTAGACAAATACAACTGTAACAGAAAGGGAAAAGAATCTTTCCAAAAGGCAAGACACAGTGCTGTGTCAGTGCCCCAACCCACTCACAAGAAGGGTTTAAAAGGCAGAGAAGCGTGGCCAGCAGGTCGAGGGAGGGGATTCTCCCCCTCTACTCTGCTCTCGTGAGACTCCACCTGGAGTGCTGCATCCAGCTGTGGAACCCTCAACATAAGGAGGATACAGACCAGACAGAGGGAGTCCAGAGGAGGGCTACGAACATGCTTAGAGGGCTGGAGCACCTCTCCTATGATGAAAGGCTGCAAGAATTGGGCTTGTTCAGCCTGGAGAAGAGAAGGCTCCAGGGAGACCTCATTGCAGCCTTCCAGTACCTGAAGGGGCTACAAGGATGCTGGGAGAGGACTTTTTACAAGGGCCTGTAGTGACAGGACAAGGGGTAACAGGTTTAAATTGAAAGTGGGGAGGGTTAGATTGGATATCAGGAAGAAGTTCTTCATGGAGAGGGTGGTGAGGCACTGGAACAGGCTGCCCAGAGAAGCTGTGGATGCCCCATCCCTGGAAGTGTTCAAGGCCAGGCTGGATGAGGCTTTGAGCAACCTGGTCTAGTGGAAGGTGTCCCTGCCCATGGCAGGGGGGTTGGAACTGGATGGTCTTTAAGGTCCCTTCCAACCCAAACCTTTCTATGAAAGACCAGTGCATACAGCATTGTTGCTGGGGCTGTCCAGAAGACAGTTATTTCAATGTCTCAAGTAATAACGCCTGATTAAAAAAGTGCCTCTCCACAGAATTTACAATCTGCATGTTAAGTAGTATAATTAGTCTGCCTCTAAGTATTTATATAAGTAACTGATTTTTAATTCAGAGCTTTAACTAAACACTGATGCTCAACATCACTGCTGACTGAATTCCTTCTGTCTGCAGTTGCCAGCACCACAGAGTATCTGGCCTACATACCAAACTTCAAACATAGAACTTCACAACTAAAAGCATCAACTTTTGATTTTGGGTACAGCACAAATTTCCAAAGCCAGCAGAAAAGCATGAAAGTGGTATTTTCCTTGGAAACACCTAACGAAGAGTCTACATATTTTTATTCAAATTGTGGGTGGCTGCATAAGCACAGATTAATTTATGAAGAGTCATAATAACATGGGGTTTTCTCCATAAGAAACCTCAATTTGGTGTCACCTAAAGCTATCGGCACCAGCAAACTCTGAGATAGACACGGTTGTGCCACTGACCACCTCGCAAAGCCAGCTGAACACTGTAAAGGAAGACAAATTTTTTCAACATAGAAAATGAGTAAAATACTTACTGGCTTGTGCAACAATGTTTGTATGCCTCCTCAGCATAGCAGCAGCTGTTTCTGACAAGGTCACAATTACTTCAAGCGCCAAATGACGCTGCGTGTTACTGAGGCTGGCATCTGCACACAGCTACAAACCAGAAGAATAGGGCAAATGGTTAGAACAGAAGTTTTGGAGAAGAAAGAGTGATTAAAAAAAAAAAATTCCTAGCTTTACCTTCAGACTTAGTTGCAACGTAGGTTCTAAATGTGGTCGTAAATACTTAGGAACAGAATCTGCAACTTCTACAAGGGATTTCAGGACAGAATCATCGTTTTGGTAGCAGGAATCATTTACAGCCTATAAAGAGACAAAGATAAGATTAAATAAGAGCAAATATTACAATGAATGAGACCGCTGTTACAGAACAGATTTGATAACTGTATCCTTCGCTCCCTGAATAGTCTGGGTTAGCATTAGTGGCTAAAGCAGTTGAAGCCTTAGGCCGCAAGTACTGACAGTAAACTTTGATAAAACTAATGCTGTTAACAAAGCAGCAGCTTAATCCAGCAGAACGAGCGGAATGAAGAAGGTAAGGACCAAGGAGACAGTTCCAAGAGAATGAAGTCACCTCAGAAGAAGGTGAGCCCAGCAACACTGAAATTCCAGTAAGAAATCAAGACAGCACTGACCAGAATTAAGTGATTGGACTTGGAGATCAGGAGATGGGTGCTATGGGTATAACTGAGAGGCACAAATTGGGGGCAGAGGTCCCTCTCCAGAGGCACCCAACCCCAGAACTAATAAAAGGAACTAATTGGAAGCCTTCACTCGGACTTGGCGTTTTCAGCAGGGTTCTAGTGTCAGACTCCACTACGGTGGCCAGTGTGCGTAAATCCATAACAACTACGAAGAGATAATATGCGGGGCCCAAAACTACAAGTTTGCTACAAGTAAGTTCTGGCTCACCATGTCATATGCCATCAATTTTGACCGTTATTAGTTTAAATCTAACACAGCAGACAGACGCTCAAAGAATTAAGATCACACGTCAGAGGCGCCAAGATGCAAAACCACATGCTACATTTTGACAGGCACAACTTCAAAATGCATTTTAAAGGCAGAAAACTCCTCAAGTAATTCTGCCCAAAAGAAGGAAAACGAGCCTAACTCCTTTTTCCCCTGTTAAGCAAGAACAACATTGAAGAGCTTATACTTACAAACACCAGGAATGTCAAGATTAATTTTTCCCCCACCAGACAACCCTGAAGAGCCACCGAGTTAAAGCAAACCTTTCGGCCTTCAGTCACCAGGCACAGGCAAGACAAAAACCAATTCAAGCTTTTGGCAACTATCTTTCCTAACCCATAGCTCCATTTTGAAAAGTAATTTAAAACTTACTTTTAACTGACCAGGTTGATACTCTAGTACCAAAACAGCACACAGTTATTCAAGTCAAACTCTTCTGAAAGTAGGACACAAATATCCAAACCCCCAAAGGAAAAAAACCCCACACAACAATTTTTAAACACACTTTTGGGTTTTGAAAGGAATTTTCATTAGCGAAGTATTTGATGTCTTCCTAAACCAGAATTTTTTTAAGGGAATAGTTAGGTGTTTTTGAATACTTAAATCTAGTATTCAACACTTGATAATGTCACTCAAACAGTCCACACTTTCAACACAGAAGCAGCATCTTCCAGTATCAGAAATGTTCTAGAAAAAAAAATATCTTTGTTAAGGCCTTTCGGACTAATAGTTACCATTTGTCCTCTGATTCTGGCAAAGGATAATGTAATATTTACTGGAAGTTTCTGTAAAACTATTTTATATGCATTGCAACTTTGACAGTTTTTTAAAGCAAGAATAGATTTCTTTGGAAAGAAGCTCAAAATGCACCTAAAAGGCAGCAACACTTTTCTGTAGTATCAAATACCAACAAACACAGAAGCCAGTTGAAATTCCAGCTGCTTTTACCTCTACTGCAAGATCTCTCTTGGATACAAGTTTCAGCTATTAGTTCTGAACATTCAACTTCCAGTATAAGCACTATGGAAATAGTACTGAAAGGACTGAATTGCTAAGTCACAGTTTTATTTTTAGCTTTTTTACCACGCTAATATTTTAACAAAATGAACAGCAACAAAAAAAGCATCCAACTGTCTCCAAAGGTCACTCACCACTATTCTAACACATCCCATCTCCTATTTATAAACTCAGATCTTCACATCCATCTTATGTTACCACAGCCAGAAAATCTAGCCCTCCTCACAATAAGTACTTTAAAAAGACAGATTTCACAGTGTAGTTCTGCGCTCTATATTTGCAAAATAAGCTTGAAAACACAAGACAAGTGCAAGTGTTTTTACGACCTAAAATAGCAGCATCGAAACTTGTATCGCACAAAGCGAGCTACTGGTTTGAAGTCTAAAAACAGCATACTGTTTCACTGCCATACATCAAGACAAATGGAATGCCCACCCCAAATCCTGCCTCGCTCCCACTCATACAACACTCTGGAGCCACCGTCCTCTCAGCTGGTTACAATCTTTGAACAATACAATTGTCATTGCCAAAGTCACAGACAGGGACTAACCACCAAGCAGTGACCTCAATATCAAAATACTTATCTTGTACACACTAGAGACCATTTTTAAGTTCAGCTGATTTTAATAAATCCCTCTCAGTTTCCACTTAAGATCAAGCAAAATTCCATCAGTTGCAGAAGCCAGTAAACTCAGCCTAATTTTTCTTCAGCTCGCCACAAAGCACACACAGACAAGGTATATAGCTTACCCTGTCAACAGGAACCTGCTGTACTGATGGTAGCAAGATGTCAGTCTTTAACCTAAATTTAGCCTAATTTAAAATCACCAAAAAATCACTATCACTGTTATCACAGGTTCTTAGTTATTTCCATTTAATATCCTTAATACAGAAAGGGAACTGTACTGTGAAACCGCCATCCTGCAGAGCTCAAACTATGTCTGCCTCTGGCTGATTTACAGTAGGTCTCGTCTCCCCCTCCCAAAGTAAAACCACCTTATATTAGAATTTCAACTTTTGCTGAAATTCATCCAGCCTGACAGAGATCTAATCCAGCCTCAAAAATTACATGAAGCTTTAAAAAGGCATTTTGTTTGCAAGTTCCTAATTTATCAAACAATAATTTGTCCACATTGTTGCCGTTACTCTGAGAATCTTTGTTCATAATAATCCTATGCTCTCCTCTAAACTGAGGAGATACAGGATATCATGGGTCAATGAATTTCCCAATTACCCATTACTTGAAATCTCAGGGTAGCCCATATGTGAAGGATATTTCAGTATCATGGTTAATTTAAAGGCTGTATGATTTTGAGTTAAATATCTTACGGAGAACTTTAGCTCATTTATCTAGGTAACACTGTATAAATTAATAGGCATGGAACTATTTTCCTAAAACCCCTATCAATTAGCTTGTGTTTACAAAATTCCTTATCGGTTTCCACTCTATCTTGCTGGTGACTGATGTCAGGCTAACTAAGATACAGTTAGTCCAGGTCTCAGCAGAAGTTCATGCGCTACACAAATTTGCAGACCAGTAAGTGATGTTTGGGTAAGTCATACAGACAGTAATGGCACATGAAGCATCACCTGTGTGGTTTCTTACCTGCAAGATTCCTGGTAGCAAGTCAGCAAAATGTTTAAGAAGGGGAAGATTGTGCTCATTAGCAAGCACAAACGCAGCTGCAGCTCTAGCAGACATAGTCTTGATCTAGAAGACAGGCAGGATTGGAGAAAAACATGAAGAACTGGTAATGAAATATGCCTTTGTTTTCTTTTAACATCAAGCCCATTATGACACTATATTTTGTATTGTCATTTCCCTTTTACATTTTCCTAATAGCTACAGCAATTAGTTTTTAGCATGAGCTTTTACATCTTACTGCAGATTAAGGTAAAGTGATAATGAAGATCTTCAGCATCTATGTCCTCCATGACATAGAGAAGCTTGTCATATTACAAGGTGGCAAGTATGCCCTAGTTTAGGTTTTGGGTTTTGTGTTTTTGTTTTGGTGGTTTGTGGTTGGTTTTTTGTAACGTAAGAAAAAAAAAGTAAAAACCCTATTGTTTTCAACTTCCATCCCAATGTCAAATGTGTAGGCAATGTCAAAGTCCCATTTTTCAAAAAGTGTGATCTAAGTGTTTAAAACATGCTTCTTTAAAGGCATGACTTGCGGTACTTTAGAAAATGTTACTCGGTTGACTTTCAAAGGTCAGAAAAAGTAATCCATGGGGGAGCAGCAAACTGAACCCATATACCACAGCAGGGTTTCCTGTCCTTGCCCAGCTTTTTCTACAACAAGAGAAACATTTCTTTCAGAAAGTACAATTCTCTGCACAAATCAATAAATCTGAAGCCTTCCAGAAAAGCAAGGCTCTAGCATGCCCTCACAGCAACGCGTCCACAAACAGTTCAAGGGGCTGACAGACGTGGAGTTGTGAGACACACTGTACAGATAATACGTGTAGAGATCATAGAATGGGTTGGGTTGGAAGGGACCTTAAAGACCATCTAGTTCCAACCCCCCTGCCATGGGCAGGGACACCTTCCACTAGACCAGGTTGCTCAAAGCCTCATCCAGCCTGGCCTTGAACACTTCCAGGGATGGGGCATCCACAGCTTCTCTGGGCAACCTGTTCCAGGGCCTCACCACCCTCTCCGCGAAGAATTTGTTCCTGATATCTAATCTAAACCTCCCCACTTTCAATTTAAACCCGTTACCCCTTGTTCTATAGATACTACATATCTACACAGTTAAACAAGAAGGACAGAAAGCGAGCTTAAGATGGAGTTTCTGACCCCTCATCCTACTGGCCAAAACCTCTGGCTCTGCTTTGGGTCACTACAAATAGGTTTCTCCAACCATAACTACTAGGGAAGGGTCTGGGCCTAAGCAGTACAGATATGAGTAAAACCAGTCAGCTTTAGGACCACAAAAAGTTTTGATCCTTCTGTTTGGAATCAGGCATAGTCAAAACTCCAGATGTACATCAGTTTCAGGTAAGGCTGTGGCTGGAATCTACGGTTTAGTCTTTATTTTTGAGGCTACTACCCTAAATTTCTCTGCTCAGCACATTATAAAAAAGAAAAAAACCCAGAACATAAAGAACTTACTGGTGGATGCTCTTGATCTTGCATACACTGGACTAGCATTCTCTTAATGACTTCCAAATAGTGTTGCTGCTGATTCCCAAAAATCCCAGGAAAATTCCTAAGGGTAAAAAACCCACCAAATAATAAGGATTCACACAGTTTAACCTTAACTATTCTTTTAAACTTACCCATTGTTTCAGCTACAGATTGTAACTATAACACGTAAGAGTTAAGTAAACCACAATACAACAGCATATATGGAACACATATGATTGCTTGTTAATTAAGTTGTGACAGTATTTCTTACATTTTTACAGACATTTGGCTAACGTGCAAAAAACGTAACCAAGTCTGAAAGCTTACCAGAAAATATGCAGAGCAGCCTCACGCAGTCCCACGTTCTGAGAGCTGACCGAGTCAAATAAGAATTTCAGAACTTCTGGCCACTGGTTGTTACCATCTTCATCTAGATTAAACACGACAAAGTTTTAGGATAAGGAAACTCCTGGAGAGCAGTTACGAGCTCAATTGTGCAGTCATCACTACTAAAATTATTTTCAAAAAAACTGATCTGAAGACGTGTCCAAGTCACAGTGTAAATAAAATATGGCTGAAACGTGAAATCTCAAGGCGGAAGATGATCTCTGTTTAGTGTTGCTCAAAACAAGAAACTGATGCAGATGTTCAGCATAGCATTCATGCAAATTTAAACAGATTTGGATTTCTGAACCTTAATACAATCTCAACTAAATTCAAGCATTTTTAAAAAGCAGAGTTAAGGAATCTTATTTTTATCTAATAAAGGATTACGTAAACAAAGAGTAGGTTTTATTTTAAACCATAAAATCCTTTAATACATCATGTGCAAATGTCTACACAAGACTAGAGAACAAGAGACAAAACCACAGCTACTCCCAATACATACACGTTTTACCACAACCCCGGCATGTATGAAGTACCTATTAAGTTCCTGGCCAATTCAGCAACAACGTCACAGATTTTTTTCCTCATACTGGACTGCGTCTCCAACTGAATAAGCAACAGCAATCCACTTTTGATCGAGGTCTGATCATCAGGTGACAGAGCTGGATAAACTTCTTCAAAAGCAGAAGACAAAAGACGTCGTAGAAGGACAGCTGCCATTTGTCTAGCCTTTTGAACAAGAAAGGATGTTTTGATACAGTAATCATGCTCTTACGAGGAAAGACTGACATCATGCTTCCAAATGATGAGTTTTCACCGTGTAGTTTGGTTTGGTGAATAGAATACCTTTCAAGCAACAGATTATGACAGTAAGTAAAAACATAGTAATGAAACTCCTTCCAACAGTGTTTCCGACAACTACAGCTCTTCAAAGAAATAATCATGAAATCCACTGAGATATGGAGGCTTTTTTTTCTAGACCGGAACCTTGGGCATATTTTGTGGCAAGTTAAGCTGTATGTTCAAAGCAGGTCTTCTTTCTATGTTAAAAGGCCTGCTGAGGTAATTATAATCCAGACGAGTTTTTTTGGATTAACAAGTGACTTAATGTGACAACTTTGTCAGACAATTAACCTGTAAAACCGCCTTCACTTTCACAAGTAACCAAACTCCTTGCTAAAGAATCAGGAAGATTTTGACAAATAAAACACTAAACTGAACAAAAAACCCAAACACCACACAAAACAACCTTCAGCCTTTTGCAGATCTATGATGAAACATCTTTCTTTAAACTTGAATTTGAGCATAGGAACCTCAATACCACTTATTACAACCTTCTGTTGCTTCCTGCTTGCATACAGCAATTCTACAACAGTATCACTTACATATCTATATTTTTTTACAATAATACATGAACTAGAAGCAAAAAATACAGCTAATTCAAAATGAATAGAGCAACACATGCAGTAAAGGCAAAAGACATGACTCCAAATAACTTAATAAATAGGATGTTCACGAACCAGTGTTTCTAGAAGGACAAACAATAATTAAAAAACACCCCCCCAACCTTCTAAAGTTTAACTCTTGTAACGAAACCTTTCACATGTAAAATCCTCACAAAAAGCTAAGCCAATGCAACATGTGCTCCATTTGCCCTAAGATTTAATATGTACTTGAATGAAAACCAGTTTCATTTATATCAACCTTCAGAATTCAAGTATGTTCAATTAGCAGCAAACTAATAAAGTCTCATTTTTCAGAAGATGTCTCAACTATATTGCTACAGCATAACCTATAGACGAGAAACACAAACTGCTGCAAAGTCTCAGCTTCTAATGTGCCCTGTCAAAATCAGTATTGCTAGAACATCACCCAAGATGACTATTCCTGTTATGTTCTGCAGGCTCCAGACTCACCGTCCCTTTTTCCAAGCTACCCAGCTCTCTTCTATACAGCTAAAGAGTAGTGCACACAAAGTGTCTCTGCACTAGCAGAAGGGAAGACTAGCATTGCACCTTACTCTAGGTCATTCCCCATCTCCTCAACAGCTCCAGAGTGGGCCCAAGCCATCACATATGTAGGATTAGTAGATCTTCCCTAGTAGATCTTTGGAAGGCAGCAGGTGAAGAGGGTCACAGTGCCATCTGTGCAGTAGCCTCCATCACAAGCCAAGGCTCTCTAGCAATAGTTCCCACATGGGGAACATGACTTAGGAAGAAGAAAGATCCCTTTCCCACTGCCTCAGGGAATCCCACTAACAGCATCCAAAAACTTCAAGGGTACCACAATAACATGGTATATTCCCTTCTCCCACCACTCAAAGCACCAACACTGTGAAAGATTATATGTCTACTCATTAGTGTGGTGAGCTTACACAGGAGAAACCTTGACTGGGAAACAAGTTTCTGGGATGACACAAGGCACAAATTCTGAAGCAATGTCTTCCCTTACTCACGGCATTGTGTTTCTGTGCATATTCCGACATCTGATAATGACTGAACTCACAACATATTCATTCCTTTCCTGAAGTAATAATAGATGGCCAGATAGGGAGATGAGCTTGTTTTCACAAAACACAAACTCTCAAAGGTAAAAATTTCCACCTCTGCAGAATTTAATTAAGATATTAGAAGACTGACAACCACAGACTGATTGAAAAGTAAAAAACGAGTAACAAGGTATATGGAAAGACCTAAGATCAGTTCTACAAGAATTAGCTCCTCGTTATTGTTACTAGCTTAGAAAAAAACAAAACAAATTCCCTAAAGGAAATTCAAATGTTTGAAGGAGCAACAAGTAACTGAATTCTCATAATAAATGGCAAATTTGCCTCAGCAGATATCCACCTATATATGAAAATTACCATTGTCAATTTAATTATGATAGGCATGGCTGGACTAATGGCAACTCTGAGGCTGCTTCTTTGGCTTCAAGGAAGAAAATAGGTATTTTTCACACACACCAAAGGCTGTTTTACATTTAAGTGTTACAAGACACGTACCCGAACAAGCATTTTAAAATCCTGCCACTTAGTGGTCATAGTTTTTAATGAGAACGGGAACAACATACATGTGTACATGCCCAAAGAACTTCCATATACCAACGAAGCTCAAAAAAGCAGAATTCTCTCCTAGCACTGGAGTCTTCTGCATGTCTGAACTACTGAGGTGCTCACATACAATTGGAGCACCAAAGGTATTAACATAAAAGGTAGTCGCAATACACAAATTTAAACGCACCACGACTTACTAATAGAATTTACAGGGCTTTAAAAATGTCCTAGGATTTTTCGGACGATGGATGCAAGGCACAAGAAGCACACCAGCTTGCTGAGCAGGGCAGCTGAAGAACTATGAAAAGAAATCTGGGGTACTATGTTCTACACTGGCATTCAAACTGTCCAGGTAATCCTAGATGTTCTGTAAGAAAAAGACTGACCATCTTGTGCACCACAGTCCCAGTGACTCTTACTTTTGTTTTACTGTCACTTTTAAGTCCTCATGGAGGAAAACATGCATGGATGGAAGCAATCAATATTTCAGACACGGTCCAAAGATGGTCCTGCACAACCTCATTCAGGGATGGAGCCCCATGTGGAATTCAGAGCACACAGTGTTTAAATACAACTGAAAAGCAGAACTGTGGTGCATCACCAGTCCATGGGCTGCCTTCCTTCCCCTCCAAACGTCCAACAGGAAGCTACCCACAGCAGCAGTTTTCAGACTAAGAACTGCAAGCCCTTCATGTGACAATATGAAGCGAGGGGGAAGGGAAAGGCCAGAGCCTTCTAAGAGGGCTGCGAGTACAGCAGGAACGTAGTTTTACACAGCATTTGTTAACTGTATTTCACAGTATTTGAAATTAGCCAACTGTAAATTAGGACACAATTGAAAACTGCCGATCTGGTGTTAATCAGGAAGAAAACGAATGCAGGAGGATATGCAGGACTCCTGTTCCTCACGGAGAGTTAGGTGGTAAATCAAAGCTGTAAAGGAAGAAGCCTTTAACACCTCACACACATTCCAAGAATAAAATGCATCAAATAAACTGAATGCAGTTACATAGGAAGAAGTAGAGTCCTAACTTCCCCAGAGTGAGACTACAGGTTTAGGAAGCTGAAGTTGCGGGTTCAAGACCCTATTTAGGCTGAGGTGTACAAATTCACGTATAATCTGGCAGAGAAGCGGTGTTCTAACTCCTAGGCCATGCGCTTCCCTCCACTTCTGTGAACAGTCTTACTCTGCTATCAGGAAAATATGAAAGGAGAACAGAGGGAAAATGTGATTATTTCCACAGTTTAGGCATTTGGTTAGAAGGAGAAAACCTGTTATGCAGCTAGTTTTTAAGACAGTCATTCCTGATCCAGCTTAATGTTTTTTCCTCATGTCACATGCAAGGGGTCCTGAGAACAGGATGTGAATCCCTGCTTCTCCATTTCAATGCCAACATCACTAGGTTGCAGTGTCAGGATTCCCTCAACTGCTGTCCAAATAGCCCTACGCAACTTATATTCCCTACAACACAGCAGTCCAGCTCCTGCAAACAGCATGGAGTATTTTCTTCGGCCTAATTTTCCAGGGAGGGGGTAGCGCAATACAGAGGCTTCAGGATGAACAGGGATCTGAAACCAGCTTTCTGGGGTAGCGCAATACAGAGGCTTCAGCTTTCCCATAGCCTGGGCAAGGGACCATTACAGTTCTAAGGGTCCTTCCAGCAGCCTGTGTTCAGTGGTGCCGTACATTCAGTGTGCTCAGAGGACACATACCAGGCCGTCTCCCCTGGCAACACATGCAGTATTCTGCCCAACAGTTGGATCTGCTTGACATATGCAGACACGAAGTGCAGCACTGTTCATACCTGCCCCATACTGAGCAGGCCCAGAATGCTTCCCTGCATGTTTAAATGCAATGTTTACATCAAGCATGGAAAGGACTTTACCTCGGCTCTAATTAAGCTATTATGTATTTGGATTTACAGGGAAGAGAGGTTGTTTGCAGATTTTATTAGTAAGGGGTTTTGTGCATCCAGCACCTAATGTCTACTTACGTTATGAGGTAAGATTTAAACCTTTCTTTGATTTATCCACTGGTGGAGTTAAATGTCAAGTTATGCTACAAATGTTAACCTCTGATGTCTTTGGTAAGACTGACCTACAGGCGACAGCCTTCTTTGCACCTGACTTAAGTTGAAAGCCAAGTTATTGGCAAGATTCTGAACAAGTTTTAGACTGGGCTATTTCCTAAGCTGATGTAAAGGGAATAAAACCCAGTAAATATATGGAGCAAGTCTTTATTTACCCAAGCATGACTTTGCAGTTGTCAACTCAGACTTATCAAATGTATTCAGTACAAAACAGAAGCATGTGCAACGGAGCTGTGACTTCTAGGGCACAGTATTATCTTCTAATGAAAAAGGGGCAGGGGTAGATCTCATTTTTCATGGCAAACCTAAATACAGGAAAGACTGCTCTACAGCTTTCTATCACTTGAAACATCTCAGAGGGGCAGGAGGGAAAACTACACAGCTCTTACGCAACCAGTTGCTAGGATCATACTGAAGGATTCTGTCAGAAGAATGCTGCTTTGTTGGTAGATAAGCATCAGTATTAGTAAGCTGATACTTACTGAGCATTAAAAAGCACAAATAGCAGCTACCTCTAAACTAAATACAGTCTACCAGAAGAGATTGTTATCCAGAGAGAAACAGCACACTTATACTCTCCTTACAATATTGTTCAGAAATTCTACATGGTACCTCCTTCTGTTGCTCAGTAAAACTCTAGATTTGAAAAGAAAAAAAAAAGTCAAATGTTTTTACTTTTAAGTGACAATGAAGTTTGTAATATCTTCAAAGCTCAGTAGTTCTTCACTCTGCATATCCAAGAGAAAAATGGTTTTACCAAGAAGTACTACATGACTGCTGAAGTATGAGCCTTTACAAAATAAAGGAAAAACTAAAAGGCACAGTTACTGTATGCCCACAAAAACCCCAATTATATAGTGCTTAGACCGCTCTCTGTTCAGTCTGTAACACTGCTAGATGGCTTAATGAGCATATCCTCCCCAAATAGGACAGAATACAAAAGCCACCTGAATAAAACATGCAAAACAACAGCTACCGTATCTGCCCCAGGTTGTGATTTGAGATGCACAAGAAGTTTCAGATGATACATTAAGTTTAACACATTTAGGCACAGGTCCCCAAAATGGAAAGCGTTTCTCAACTGTAACTTGAAGGAACATCACAGTCACATATCAGCTACACATTTTCAGGAAAGAACCCTTTTGTTAGGCAAAACACATAGCCAGAAAACAGTGGAGTTCTAAGCAGTCACTTAGGAAAGACTACTTTTGAAACTAAATATCCTACACCAACAAGTCTCAGCCAATGAACTTGACGTGCAACAAACCAGATGAGTGGTCCCCCTACAAATGTGCAGTAAATTAAAATGATTCAGTAAATGCCTGACTTGTTCATTGATCCCAAAATGAAGAGCACCGATTTCTTCCCCTATCGTGGTTTAACTCCGGCTAGCAAATTACCATGAAGCCGCTCTCACAAATCCCCCTCCCCTCCTCCAGTGGAGGGGAATGAATGCAGCACATCCCTCCTCCTTCAAGCTGCCTTGAAAATCTGCAGAATTCAAAGATTATTGAGACATACCTCCTCAGCAGCAGCAGTATTCCTGATTGCTTGGAGAAGGAATGTGATCTTAGATTGACCTGGAATATTCTCATATGTCTCCTGTGTAAAAAGAGATGCATCTTATCGTAAACAATTACTAGAAAGCACACGTTAAGCACTAGTGTGAAATTACTTTTCTTTTAAAACAACTTCAGTATTCATCCACTTAACAGAAAATAACACAGCAAAAAAATTAAACCTATCAATAAACAAATCTGACTGATTTAAAAATTACAAGTAAAGCGCTAGTTACCAAATAACACCTGCCATATTGGAATAATCTACATACGTATTTCTGACCGTTTACAAGATCAGTTAGGAAATACAACATATATGGAACACATCCTCCTGGAAATACAACATATACAGAACACGCATCCTCCTGGGAATCCATCATAGCTTCTATCACATCAAACGATTAAGAACTTCGGAAAATGAAACTGAACTATGATCAACAAGTTAACACCCAATGACAATGTCTACCTTGACTTCAGCAAAGCTTTTGACTCTGTCTCCCATGGCATCCTCATAGTCAAGCTTAGGAAGTGTGGACTGGACCATTGGGCAGTGAGGTGGATTGGGAAGTGGCTGAAGGAAAGAGCTCAGAGAGTTGTGGTCAGTGGGGCAGTCTAGTTGGGGCCTGTGGCTAGTGGCATCCTGCAGGGGTCAGTGCTGGGTCCAGCCCTGTTCAATATATCCATCAATGACCTGGAGGAAGGGATAGAATGTGCTCTCAGCAAGTTTGCTGACGACACCAAACTGGGAGGAGTGGCTGCCATGCCAGAAGGCCGTGCTGCCATCCAGCGTGACCTGGACAGGCTGGAGAGCTGGACGGGGAGATACCTAATGCAATTCAGTAAGGGCAGGTGTAAAGTGCTGCATCTGGGGAAGAACAGCCCCAAGGATCAGTACAGGTTGGGGGATGTTCTGTTGGAGGGCAGCTCTGGGGAAAAGGACCTTGGAGTCCCAGTGGACAAGAGGATGACCATGAGCCAACAGTGTGCCCTCACAGCCAAGAAGGCCAGTGTCATCCAGGACTAAGGGCAGTGGCCATAAACTGGAGCACAGAAGGTTCAACCTGACCATGAGGAAACACTTCTGCCCTGTGAGGGTGACAGAGCCCTGGAACAGGCTGCCGAGAGAGGGGGCAGAGCCTCCTTCTCTGGAGACTTTCAAAAGCCTCTTGGACTTGTTCCTGTGTGATCTACTCTAGGTGATCCTGCTCTGGCAGGGGGGTTGGACCAGATGATCTCTAGAGGTCCCTTCCACCCTGGGAATCTGTGAATGCATAGTCAAAAAATTCATTCAGTTCTTTTCTGAACCTTTTTAAGTCGTTTACGTCACGCTGGCAGTCACAAATCTTAACTACACGTTTTGAGTAAGAACTTTTAATTTTTAACCTCCTACCTGAATTTCAGAAAGAGAGATTACTCAGTCTCTCCCTTATGGAAACTCTCTTAATAAAATGTAAAGTTCAATGAGAAGTTCAGTTACATTGAGTTACACACTTCTGGCATGTCCAGCTTTTAAAATTAGATTGTTACTTAGAAGCTACAGTGAGTACGCAGCAAAACAGCTTTTGCTCTCCAAAACATGGTATACACGAGCATGTTAAAACTACAAAAGCTGCTTTGTAAAACTACAGATGCTGCTACTACTAAACCTATGTAGGTGTGAGCAGGGGAATTACAAGATGAAGAGCAACCACTTAAAACATTCAGAAATAGGTCTATATTTACTAACTCTTGAAAGAGTTACTTTTTATGGACACAATCTTGAAGACTAATTACTCCACCCTTTCCAAATATTCACTACACCATTCTGAACTCAAGGAATGAGCCTGCTACACAAAGCCGGGGTTCATTTCAACCAGTTCTCTGTCTGCCTACTTGCCATTCTTACCACTGCAGCACCTCTAAGGGCCACAAAACTGGTGAAGTGTCTGGAGAATACGTCTTATGAGGAGCGACTGAGGGAACTGGGCTTGTTTAGCCTGGAGGAGAGGAGGCTGAGAGGAGACCTGATCACTGCCTACAACTACCTGAAAGGAGGTTGTGGAGAAGTGGGTGTTGGTCTCTTCTCCCTAATGACAGATGATCGGACGAGGGGGAATGGTCTCAAGCTGCGCCAGGGGAGGTTTAGATTGGATGTAAGGAAGAAGTTCTTCACCGAAAGGGTTATCACGCACTGGAACAGGCTGCCCAGGGAGGTGGTGGAGTCACCATCCCTGGATGTGTTTAAGAGACGGGTGGATGAGGTGCTGAAGGATCTGGTTTAGTGGTGGACAGATACGGTTGGACTGGATGATCTCTAAGGGCTTTTCCAACCTAGTGATTCTATGATTCTCTTTCTAATACTCTAGCAAATTTACCCACCTTGACAGTGCACCTGGTGTTTTCAATAAAGCAGTTTCCCCATAGCACGTCTGATATTAGACATTATCTTCTTCCACTTCCTGTACCTGTTTCCTAGTAGGACTCATTTACGAGTCAATTCTTACTTCGCACTCTCTAGTTGCTCATATACGCTCAGTCAACGAGATTCTGAATCCCCATGGAATCCCTGCATCTAAACTAATCATTTCATGGAGAATGCAAAATTAAATGAGGTTTAGGGTCAGAATAGAAAGTGTCTTCAGATTAACCACTTATGTGAATATATGTATTTATATCACACAATTATCTACAAAAGCTGGCAGCCCAGAAAGCCAACTGTATCCTGGGCTGTATCCAGAGAAGTGTGGCCAGCAGGTCGAGGGAGGGGATTCTGCCCCTGTACTCTGCTCTGGTGAGACCCCACCTGGAGTGCTGTGTCCAGCTGTGGAACCCACAACATCAGAAGGATACAGACCGGTTGGAGGGAGTCCAGAGGAGGCCACAAAGATGCTCAAAGGGCTGGAGCCCCTCTGCTATGGAGACAGGCTGAGAGAGTTGGGCTTGTTCAGCCTGGAGAAGAGAAGGCTCCGGGGAGACCTTATAGCAGCCTTCCAGTACCAGAAGGGGCCTACAAAGAAGCGGGGAGGGACTTTTTACAAGGGCCTGTAGAGACAGGACAAGGGGTAACGGGTTTAAATTGAAAGTGGGGAGGTTTAGATTGGACATCAGGAAGGAATTCTTCCTGCAGAGGGTGGGGAGCACTGGAACAGGTTGCCCAGAGAAGCTGTGGATGCCCCATCCCTGGAAGTGTTCAAGGCCAGGCTGGATGAGGCTTTGAGCAACCTGGTCTAGTGGAAGGTGTCCCTGCCCATGGCAGGGGGGGTGGAACTAGATGTTCTTTAAGGTCCCTTCCAACCCAAACCTTTCTATGATCCAATGAAACATAAAAACAAACACAGAAACAAGGCCTCCTAAACACAGGTCCAGCACAGAACTGAAGCTATGCTTTCATGGACAGCTGATGCACTGTAAAAGCTGGCTTCCCTCATGCCAATTCAGATAATAATGAAATTATATTTTGAATTGTTTAAACTCACTAGAAATGGCAGCAACCTACCCAGTTGTTCACTGGCATAATTCTGTCAAGTCATTAAACTGGATTCAGAGGATGCTGAAGAGCACCAGGGCAAGGTAGGCAAGAAGAATATACAGCCAAACCCAGAACCTTCCCCCTGTCCTGGAGGAGGACCACTTTGATGGCTCTACACATCTCACTACCAGCCTTGTGTATGCCCTAACTATGCACCTGGATCCTGCTACATCTTGACCATGTTCTTTTTGTTCACCATTAGTTTCCCAGCGACCTTAACCAGCAGAACAGATTCCTCACAGCATGACTAACTTACAGAATACATGGAAGCAACTGTTATCTACTCTTAGTACTCAAACCTGAGAAATATATCTTAAAAAAGAGCATAAAATTGCCAAGATAAAATAAATAAAAGTTTCTCTATCAAAAGACAGACATGCAAGTTGGAGAAGGACAGGCTTTTTTAGTCAACAGACATTCCAGTAATTTTTAGTGGAAGATTAAATGAACAAACCAGGTTTCAACAAACTGGTCAGAAAAAGTTATGTGTGCTAGCACATACACAGATCCCTATACATACTTAAAATATTAGGTGATTAGACTTCTTTCTCCCCCCTCTTCTGTTTTTACACTACACCCCTGCCCAAAACAGGCTACGACTCTACCTCTCCAGCAAGTCTAGTTTTCAAAATAACACCCCTCATCCTAACTTCAATGACCAGACTTATCAGAAATAACCCAAGTCTGCCTCCTTCAGTTCCCTGTCTACGTTCTCACTGGTTTTCATTACACCCAAATGAAAACCTGCTATTTAATTTACCTGCAGTTACTTGAATTCCTGTAGTATTCAATATTGCCTTCCAACAGTAAGTACGCTTTAAAAAAATGACTGGGCTCGGCAGATGTTTAAGATCAAATGTGTCCTGTATGATTTTAGTAAGCAGATATTCTAAACGCCATGCAATACTTTCATCCAAAGAAATCTTTCTTCAAGAAACAGGCAACTTAAAAAAAAAAAGTCATTCTAATTACACTGTAGATAGATAGACTTGTGTTTCTAGGTACAAGTTCGCTAACCCACCATAAAGATGACTGAGCTGGGTTCCTCACAGCTGTGCATGGTGGAATAATGAGAAACAACAGGCATAAATTAAAAAAAAAATAGAGGTTCAGACCTCTTTGCTCTAATGAGGACAGTCAAAGCAAGAATAGGTTGCTCAGAGAGCTTGTGCAGTCTCCATTCTTGGGGGTTTTCAAGCACCAACAGGACAAAGCTTTGAGTGCCCTGGTCTGACCTGATAGCTGACACAGCATTCAGCGGGAGATTGCACTACAGACCTCCTGAGGACCCTTCCACTCTGATCCTAAACCATAAAAATACTCCCTGGAAATATGCAGTACCAGATTCAGTGCAGTTAAATAGGTAAGAATTATACTACTTTCTTGTACCTATGTACGAAACTAATGGACTTGAAAAGCTTGGTTTTGACAAGGTTTCTTATTCTGCTTAACCATAGTGCATGTGTACGTATGTATGATAATTAAACTCCAACTCAGTTCCAAGCATGTTTCTGACAGAACATGCCTGTGG